TGTTAGAGCTTTTTTTATCGTTTCAATTCACCACGGCTTTTCGTAGGTCATAGCTGAGAACGAGGCATTGCATAGCAGGAATCAAGTTGCATTGTCCAAGTGCGTTCTACAGGATCATAAAGATCACTGTGGAGCGAACCACGAGTGTTACAAACAGGACACGGGCAGTCATGTCGATAACACATTAGAATGCAAACGGGAGAAATCCTTAGAAGGACCCAGCATAATGTTTGAGTCGAGAATTAGTGAGCTGGAGGCGCAATTAACCCAAGCCAAACTGGAATTACGAAAGGCGCAGGAGGAGAATCAAGTGAATTTGAAGCGTTTGTTTGAGAGTGGTTCAAGCGAAAGCAATGCTGAATTAAAGGCCGAATTGGATAAAGCTTTACGCGCCAAGTATGAAGCTGAGATGAAGCTGGAGGAATTGCAGAAACTATTATCGGTCGCGCGGGATAAAGAGACCGAGGCGACACAGAGAGCAAAACGATCTATGGACGATAGGCATGAGATCGAGTTTGAAAGGAATCAGAGCGAGATGGAGATTCGAAGATTAAAAGATGAGCTGGAGAGGCAGCATGAAAAGTTACGGGAGGCAGCCCAAGATGCGAATAGACGCATAACTGAGGAGAGGCAACAAGTGGAACGTCGATACAATCAGCAAATCGAGCAACTTACTGCCGATATTGCAACCCACTGGGAGACCACCAATAAATCGCAATTAGAATCTGAGAAACAGCGGCGAGAGATAAACGAACTGAGACGAGAATTATCTCAGAAACAAAACGCTATGGATAATCTGAAGAAAGAGCTGCAAAATAAAATATGTAAGTTTATGTTGCTCAAATAAATTCATAAATAAATATTAAAAATTTTAAAAAATCTACTTATTTGTGCAAAATTACAAACAAAGAAATATTCTCGTGTTTAGCAACTTTGCAGAGTGATTTGAATCAAGTGTTAAGCGAAAAAGACGCGGCGGAACAAGAGGTCTTGACCGGTAAACTAGCGGCTGAACGAAGCGACAGGCAGGCTCGTCAAGAACAGAGTAGATTGCAGGCAGAAATTAATTCGTACAAGCAGCGTCTGGAAAGAGCGGATGCTGATTTGGTACACTGTAGACGAGAAAATCTACGACTATCGGAACAAATTGCATCTTTGGAAAAGGAGGTAAATATTTTGAACGTGATTTTAACTGATCAATACTTAATTATATCAGTGTATTATTAACGATAAAGTATCTAAAAGTTTCAGGAATTGTTTTACGTAATTAGTTAAAAAAAATAACATTTCTGTATTTATTTTTATACTTTCATGTTTTAATTTTTTTATATGGATTTTTTTTAATTTTTTTTTCATAGAATTATCTTCAAAAATTTCCTTAAGCATTATGACAATTTCAACCGAACACATTTAAATAGGTTTATGAAAAAAGAAATAAAATTTAACACACGTTTTTTTTTCAATATCATTTTCGTCTCACAAAAAATTGCCAAATTATAGACAAAAAAGTTTCTGAATAATGATATGATACTCTTTTAGACTATCACACGACAGATTCTTTCACAACATAATACTGCAGATTTATGATATTTAATAGTACAATATTGAATTAACTTCAGTACGGAGGATTCAAATTCCGGAAACTTTTGGATATTTAACAAATTAAATAATTATTGAAGTTTCTGCAAAATGCAGTGTTATAAAATAAAGTCTTTTATATTTTTTTAGATCAGTATGAGTAAAATTGTACGATCTGAAGAGAATCGTAGCGAAATTACGCCTAGATTGGAAAACGAGAAGGAATTAACGTCCATGATAATGGATATGGAGACTAAACATGGTAAGATATCGTTCTAGGTATGCCTATGTTAGGTATATTGTCCGTAAAAAGTATTATTTGTTGACAATGATTTTGACTTAAGAGTACTGTCTTTATATGTGTGAGAAATCGGCATGCCTGACACTATATATGCCTAGCATAGGCGGAGATTGAGATTTAAGTCAATTAACATAGCTAACAGGCTGACCAAGGCAACCAAATTTCGCAGCTGCCACGGTGGCGGGCCTAGAAGACGCTCTGAGTAATCAGGCCAAGCTCGTCTCGAGATTGACCACCGAATGCCAATCTCTCACACAGCGTTTGGAAGCTAACAATCTTAAACACAAGTATATTCTTAGTTCGACTTGCGGAAACTGAATGAAAAGAGATATAACGCACGTAGCTTCAGACTGTCAGACGTTTACTTAGTTTAGTTGTTTCTCGATTAGTTATATCTGAAGAAGCTCAGCTTAATTTATTAGACTATTAGAGTATATTAACACCTGTTATTAAGCGCGCGTTTATTACGATGTAATTGCCAATTAGAATAGATAAGAATGCACCACTTCTCACTGTATATATCTAGGGCTATTCTGTGTTGACAGAGGGGGTCGTTGAGAGAGATGTGACAACGGTTGGGCAAACCGCTTCGCCTTCGAGCAAGAAACGTACTGTTAAGGTTGATCTAAAAGTAAAAGTAATTCCAAAAAAGAAGTCCGACACCTCCAAAACATCTCTATCAGCACAGTAATAGCGAGAGTGTCCTAACGCAAATGACAATTACATTATTATGCTCGATGTGACACTGATTTTCCGCTAATAGTCAAACTTAACTTTTAATCCCATATCTGTTAAATCATTTACTCGTTTATCACAGGGAAGAAATGGCCGACTTACAAAGCAACATAGAAAACTTGTCAAGTAAAATACAAGGCAGCCTTGTAAGTCACGCAGGTATTAATTTTTATTTAATTCTTATGTAAATCTGTAATTCAAACGCATGTACATCGAATGTTGAGTGACAAGGATTACTTTCCAGGAGAAATTACTATGGAAACTAACGATGGTACTGGAGCTTTTCATTATAACGCTACGATGGATTCAGTAGTCTCGCCGCATACAAACAGATTATCGGGCGCTCAAGGGTCGCAAATGGTACATCAAGAATACGACACCGCGAACGGTCAAAAAGTAGTGGGCGAGGAGTCAGAAATATATTCTGACGCGTCGAAGAGAAACGATCAGATACAGGGCAACTTGGTGCAAAATAACTTTGCACCGAATATGGAAACCGCAGAGATGTATCAGCAGCAAGGAGACGCACAAAATAACGAAGAGTATACAATGAACGATTCAAATATGGAAACTTACATGATGGGGCATGATCAAAATCAATACGAATATGATCCTTCACAATATCCAGAAGAACAGTATGTTAATGGCAACCAGTTTAACATGATGGCGGATCAGACGGAAAACAATCAATCTTCGACGTAGTCAGAATAACTGAAACTCTGCACTAACGTACTCTGTATTAATGGCATACGCACATACATATATATAAATACTATTCATGAACAAATACATAAAGAATATAGGATAATGTATAAATTGAATCCATAAAATTTTTTTCAGTTATTTTGAAGCCCTCTTTTGAATGTATAAACTTATAACGCAAGTTGTTTCTTCTCTTTTTAAGACATAACATCACACTGAAAGAAAAGCAGGAAGTTTGTATCCTCAAATTAAAAGCAGAATGTATAAATTTATTTCAGAGAGAAAGAAGTAAATGAATATTAGTTTTCTCTGTTTAGGTTTTATTTCCGACTATATTTGAAATATAGAATGAATTTATCCTTATCGTCTAAGAAGTAATTTGCTATTTTCTAATTCCGTTCATTATGATTCCTGAAAATCTATAATACACGTAACATGAACTGTAGATTTTCGCAGAGAATTACGGACGCAGAGAACGAAGCTTCTGTGTCATTTATGTACGAAGATTAATTAAATAGAAATTCTGAGTTATTCAACATTCTCAATTTTGTTAAGTTAACGCATTGATTATTTACTTGTATTTTCAGATATTTTAGGATATTTTACATTTAATTTATATTATATACAAAATAGAATCTTTATTACTTTCAGCATTACAAGCCAAGAAGGGGACTTGGTTCACATTTTTTTTACCGTATCCTCACACATTCATCCATCTATTCATTCTTTATGTTGGCTATTTTTTAAATATAATCCTTAACGTACCAATTTCACCGTGCATATACAATATTTTCTCGTTACTCCTATCTTTATTTACAATATACCTCTCCATTATCTCTTCTTATTCCAAATTTTCTTTCCTTAAAAAAACCTTAATTTTTTTTCCTCTATTTCTATCAACCTCTAATTTTTATTTATATCTATTAATCTATTATATCTCATCTCTACTCTCTTTACATTCCTTTCTTTTAAATGTTATTTTTTTACCGTCTATTACTTGTGTATCTCTACCTCTTTACGTGACTCTAAATTTCGCATTCTTTAACACTTCAAAATTCGGCCTTATTGCCCTGTTCTTCTATCTTCTGTTTTTTCTTTTTAATTTTTTTTTTACGCATTGCTTTCTTATTTCTATCTTTTTTTACTACAATTAATTTCGTTACTCGCTTTATGTCTCCCCGCTATTTTCGTGATTTAAACCTCTACCGCCCATCTTTTTTAATATCCCTATTTTACCTTTCTATACTTTATATATATACTTTACTTCTCCCATACTTTCCCCATTTCTACATCCTTCTATCAATCTGATTTATTTACAATTACCGTATTACCTTGCCTTCTTAATTTATTACCCTAACTAAAAACATTAAAAATACTCCTTATACTCTCACTATGCGTGAGTTTGGGGAGACTTAGAGCTGTAGCAGAAAAGTTAACTTATAATCTTAAGACAGTAATCTTATGACCTAAGTCTTATGTCTATAGTAAGTCCGGATCTACAATAGGTGTTCTAAAAGCCGTAAGAAATTGACCAATTACAGTCAAATCCGAGGAGAATAATCGACCGTGATTCGCCCATTTCTTATGGCTTAAGGCTTAAAACCCTATTGTAGATCCAGGGTATATATAACGCACAAGAACTATCTTATGACTTAAGTCTTAAAGGTGTACAAATACAAGATGCCTTTAAAACATAAGCCATAAGATAATTCTTGTGCGTTACTAAAGACATAAGACTTAAAAATCATAAGACACTGTCTTAAGATTATAAATCAGCTTTTTCTGCTAAGGCACGTATTATTAGCACTATCTGTGTCATTCTGTCTTTATCATTCATTAGATGTAAAACAAGGACAGAATGACACAAATAGCACTAATAGTACCACTAATAGTAAATACCTCGAAAGCGATCTTAGGCTCCAACTTGCTTTGACCTTAAATGAGACTTAAAACGCTATCTTTTCCTATATCTCGGCTTTAAAGAGAGAAAGTGAGAGTTTTCAGCCTTGCTTAAAGTCAAAGTAACGTTGGTGCAATCGAGCCTTAAACACACAAAACTTTCACTACTGTAATTTAATCATCACATATCAAGTCTAATTTATTTAAAAAAAAACGCAAATTCTTATCATTATAATCAGTTACTAGTGCGTAGTTTGCTCAAACTAGAAATTATAAAATTCACACATTTTACGTTATTATTGAGTGTTAGATATTTAGGTCTAAACAATTTATAAAACTGTTTATATTCTTAATCCCATTATTTCTCTTGAGATTTTGCATATTGCAGACAGAATTTGCTCAATGGGTAATTTTTTTATTTGAGGTATCTTAAGAACATTTTTTGAGAATATATAGTTTGAGGTGAATATTAATTTCACTCGTCACTTTTTTGCATAATAAATTTTCCATTGAAGTATTGCATAGTGGACCGCGTGTAAACAGATTATCCAAGAACCAAGTATTATCAGAATTGCATAAAATGGTACTGTTGGCATGTCCATCATTGAAAGAATCTTGCTTGGTGAACGTAAGTGACAGTAAATTTCCAAGCACGTCAGATTCGGTCGGTCAACATAGACCGCCTGCATTATCCCTTCAAATGCATATCTGCAATAAAATGTAAATTTTTTGAATTGAAAAAATAAAGCAAACTATATAGATATACAACAAAAACATGTTTTTGTAGAAACAAATTTAATTAACAATAATAAGATTGAAAGACCGCTAATGTTAAACATAATAATTTTAAATTAAGAAGCGCCATAACGGTCAGAACGTTAAGATGTTGAACTATTGTAAATTCATTTAAATGAATTTACAATAGTTCAACATCTTAACGTTCTGACCGTTATGGCGCTTCTTAATTTAAAATTTAATTAAATTGCCGTCCTAAATAAAAAGACGATTAATATGAGAAACATTATATCTAAGTAATAATAAAATTAAATGCTACAAGTTTTTAATTAATAATCACTGCGTCATAAAATTATACCTGAAATAACTTATAACACTTAAAGGCTGCAGGTACGGCGACATTTCTCCTATTTTCGTGAAAAATCCAGCAAAAAGCAATAATGGTATATGAACTGCCGATATTAGGAACATACCTAACTGAAAGAAATTATATTTAGTGATCTACATTTTCATACTGACTGTAAGAAAGAATTGAATTGAAATTTGAATAGTGTAAGCTGATCAGGGAATTGGAAAATTTATCATTATAATAAATAACTCTTATAAATAATATGATTATAGTCGTCTTTCCTATATAATATGTTATAATTGTAATATATTAAACTATAGCTTTTTTCTTGTAGCTTTTTTAATATTAATTAAAATAGTGTAATACAAATATAAGGGA